CCCCCCCCCGTCCCCCACCGCCGCCTTTCCCGGCCGAACAGGCGCTAATGGGGGCGGGGGGAGGTAGCCACGGTACACCCCGATCTCTTTTCGGCAAAGAGCAGGGGCCGGATGGGAATTTACGCCCCCCTCCCCAGTCGGGCGGGCAGGAGAGAAGCTTTACTTTTTCAAGTTTCTAGTTCCTGGGGATTCATCCCAAGGGGAGGGGGACGAGTGGCTCCCCCTTTCCCCCTAATTTTTTCACTTCTTGGAAAGAGAACTTTGGCCATCGAAAAGCTTGGATTTCCTTCTCTTCTTCCCCCCCCCCCATCTTCTTTCCAACTTTGTATTTTTGTCTTTTTTGGGTCCTTGGTGTTCAGCAACGACATGGAAGCGGTTGGCAAATTTGAGTTCAGCCGGAAAGATCTGATCGGACATGGGGCTTTTGCCGTGGTCTTCAAAGGCCGGCACAGAGAGGTAAAGGTTTTTACGGTCTGGCCCCCTTTTGAGAAAGGGATTTTTAGGGGACCTTTCTGTTGAGAGAGGCGTGGGCATTTCTGATTCTCTCCCTTGAAATGACAAGGGGGGACATAGCGATGAAAAAGGGGTTCTTGGGCCATTTATTCATGAGGATCTCCTTTGCCGAAACAACAAGCAAAGGCTGTGTGAACTGCTAGATCTATAACTTCTAAATCTGTGTTGGGACTTTAGATAGCCTCCCCCCCCCCCTTCTCCCAACCCCCTCTGAGAAATGTCTCTGAGCTTTCGGGAATCTCCAACATTTCAAACAAACCCACAAGTAGGCCGGCGTGCAAGTAACAGCGTGCCTCTGTAATGTCAAAAAAAGGTCTGTTTGAAAACAGCAATTATTTTCTAGAGGAACTTTGGAAAAGTGGCAGGCTGATGCAATTGGCGGTGATCCTTGAAAAAGAAATCGAGACTCTGCTCAGGCAGAGGAAAACAGGCCTTATCTTGGTGGCTTGGCAACCCTTCCTATCTAAAAGCAGCCACGAGCAAGCGAAAACTCTGTTGTCCTGGAGGAGCTATAAATATATTTCAGGCTTGTATGTAATAGTGTGGTCGCTATGGGCGACTAAAACCTCTGTGCAGGAGAACACCTGGAGTGCTTGTAGGCTGGGACCAGGGTAAGCCTCTATTTTCTCCCTATATACTAATATGTGCTTCCCCAAAGTCTTCAGAATGTCCTTGGAGGAGGGAAGGTGAAAAGCAAAGACAGGTGTGTGTGTGTTTTGAGTAGGCAGGATCTGGGCAATTAGGAGTTTGTAAAATTAAAATTGCTTCTGTAGCAGGGCTGAGCCATGCTTGCTAAAAACAAGCTATCTTGGCCTCAGAGTGTCCAACTTATCCTCCATCGCTTGTAATAAAGTACATGTGCAGTTATCGATCTGGGGATCGAAGGATGAGGAGAGGAAGTGGAAGGAGGCTCCTACGGTTCTCTTTGTAGGGCTTCGGTGGAAATTGTTGCTGGAAACAAAGCCTTGTTTCGTTTTGAAATTGTTGCATGCGGGAGCAAGGGTTAAGAGGGGAAAGGAATTAAATCAGAAGAGGGCGAGCTAAAGACTAGACAACTGAATAACCAACATTTTCAAGACCAGCTTTTGTACTAAGCGTCAGTGGAGTTTGTCTGGATTTGTTGCGGTCCGTGGTGCAAAGTCAGATACTGTGGTTTATAAACCGTCATTTTTGGCATAGGGGCTCGTGAATGGGTCAGGAGACCCTGATGAAAGTGTTTCCGTGCAATGTGGGTCTGCCGGGATGTGTTACGGAAAAGGCAGGAGCCCCTATTCACAGTCTACCTTGATGTTTTAACTTGCAGAAACCTGAAGTAGAGGTGGCCATAAAATGCATTAACAAGAAAAACTTGGCAAAATCGCAGACCCTCTTGGGGAAAGAAATCAAGATATTAAAGGTAAATTGGAGGAAAAAACCACGGTCCCCTTGGAGAGCGAGTCTTATTGCCTGAATTCATGAGCTGTGTTTACGGTTTGGATAAATAACGTTGGACCCTCTCTCTCTCCTTCTAGGAACTGAAACATGATAACATCGTCGCTTTGTACGACTTCCAGGTATTGCTCTAAATTCACATCCAAGGATTTCATCGGGAGGGGGAGGAGGAGGAAGGGTTGATGTGCCAATTCAATGGCCAAGAGGATGTTGTTTAATCCGTTTTTTATAGGGGGTGGGAACAAGCATGAGGACTTGAGGAAAACACCAGCTAGATTTACTTGTGGGGCCGGAGATCTTATGCTGAAATGGAGGGCCTTGTCATCCTATAAGAACTGCAGGTTATTTAAAAAAAAAAAAAAAAAAAAACTGTGGGCTTATGAGTGCACCGCTATAATTTTGGGGATCTGCCCCACCAGTATTTTGCCTGAGATTAGTTAAATCTCATCTGGCGTGACTCCTGTTGCAGGCTGAACCTGTTTATTTTCTCCTTTGGGGATGTTTGGGGCATTCATTCCATTATGGGTTCTTTTTTGGAACAAGAAAAAGGAAAAGTGGCAAAGTGCACGAATTAGGCCTTCACAGGAAGGGCATTTCCTGTTTTGTACCTGCGTTTGGGTTTTTTGTTTTTTTGACCTTCCTGTCAAACAGAAGGATGGATCTTGTTCGGTTGTATAAAAGGGACCGGCGTGGGCCTGCTTGTTAGTGGTTGGGGCTGTGCATCTCTCTGCGTTTTCCCTGTGTTGAAATCAGGTTGGCATGTCTGTTTCTCTCTCCGCCTGTGAACGGTACCCACCCTCTTCAGGAAATATGCAAAAGCCTCCTTCGGTTTCCCAATGAAATTGACCAACCTTGTTGGCCTCTGCAAAGATTTAAGGTTGCAATGCTGTGTGTGTATACCCCTGCCCTCTGCTTTGTAGAAGAGGGGTCTTCTTCTAAACCCTGCTTGGAATCGGAGCGCTCTGCCAGTTTCCATCCTCGCTTTTCCTTTGTTTGGGGTGAGCCGCCTTTAATTGCGTCGATTTCCACAGGAGGCGGCGGCGGGCGAGAGATTTAGTTCTTGCGATTGTGCATCGGAGGCTTGTTTGCATGTCTGGCCGTCATGTGGTCTCCAGACCTCCTTGTTTGTTGACATTCCTTTGGCGGGCTCCGATTGGCGGGCAGCGGGCTCTGCGTCATCCTCATCCCTGCCACCCGATTCCCCTTGAACCTTTGGCGTGGGCTGCTGCAATGCAGGCAATGCATGCTGGGAGCTGTAGTCCTGGGGGCACTCGGTTGCTTTTGTTGTAGGGTTTTCTGCGGGCACGAACTGGCTTCCTCCCCCCCTTGCCCCTTCCCTCTGCAAGTTCTTCTTGCTTCAGACTGGATCGAGAGGAACCATCAGGCGGAAAAATAATCCGTTTTGTGCCGTACGTGAGCGTCACATAAGCCTTACCAGTTTCTTTAGTTTCCTCCACCGCCACCCCCGCCCCCCAACTTGGAAATGGAGCTTGCACGATAAAGCTTCTTTTCCGGGTACCCTGAGATTAAACAGTGCAGCATAAAATACACAGCGTGAATGTTGTATAAGGTTGCCCGGCTGTATGTTCAGTTTGGTGTTGCCGCGTGCATGAGAAAACACAGCTGTCTGTTCAGTTTGCATTGGAAAACAGGACTCTGGAATTTGGACGTTGGTTGTGTTTTCTGTTATTTGATATGTGTTTATTTAAAGAGGTTGTTCTCTCAGGCTTTAACTCAAAGGTCCCCAGAACAGATTTAGAGATTGTGTCGCTTTCAGGTTCACGGTTTAAAAGACATAGCATAAAAGGAAAAAAGAAGGGGAGGGAAAAGGTAAGGAGGGTGAAGTAGATTTTTATCCTGGCAGCTAGAGAAAAACTGTCTGATGGCTTAACCAGGCCTGGCTTTGTAGGTGGCTTAAGCTCTGTACTCTTGCACTTCTCATGAGAACTAGCTACTAGAGGGCTTTCTAAACCTCAGGATTTAGAAAGAGCACTGAAAAAGCGTGCATCAGTTTAACCATAACCAGTTGCAAAGAACCAAGGCATTTAGACTTCCAAGGCTGGCTGGGGAATTCTGGGAGTTGAAGTCCACCCATCTTCAAGTTCCCAAGGCTGAGAAACCCTGGTGTACAATCTGGAGCATTTAAGAAGTGCTTTAAAATTGTTCTTTCTTTTTTTTTTTTAACTCCGAATGGATGCTTTGCTGCTCATTCACACAAAGTTGCTTGCCTGCAGCTGAGTGGTTTCTGATAGACCTTCTGATCAGAGGACAGATGGATCTCTCTCTACTTGCCCAATTTCCCATCTGGTGGTTTTCCTTCTGAAGATGTCCCTTTGCTTGCATTTCCTCTCTGAGCAATACAGGCCTTGCCCTAAAGATCTCCAGATATTTCTGCAAACTGCTTCTGTGGAAAAAGCCATCTTAACATTTTTAAAGGATGCTTGTTTTAGCGTGGGAAGGAATGTCTTTTTATTTTTACTTTTATTTCTTACTTCTTTAAAAAGCCCTGAACTTAGCAAGAACAGATTTCGGAGTGAAGAAAGGAAGCTGTGTTTGATTATTATTTTTGTTTAAGTAAGTATTGAGTGAGTGCTTCCGAAGTACTTACAAAATGCAAGTGGTGTTGAAAGCAGGATGGTGTGAGCCACCCGTGAAGTTTCTTCGTTGGCCAAAGATTGAATGGTTGCCAAACCAGAAAACCAGATGAGATTTCAAAGGAACTGGGGCAGAATTGGGACGATGGAGCTGGGGTTGCATGTAGCTATGGGGTGGGGTTTGTCTGGCTGAGTTTATGCTCCTCGGTCTGTTCTGTGAACGTGGCTGTCGGCTTCTCTTCCACGTTATGCTGAAGGTGGCTCCATCTTTCTTTCTTCTCCCCCCATGAAACTAAGAGCATCTTCAAAAGCTTTCAGAAAGGATGACCCAGTTAGGACTTTGCTTATGTATTATTGAAAAGTACTAATGGGGCCTTCGTTGCTCAAAATCCCAGGGAGATGGTCTCTGACGTATCAAGTATTTTTAGAACTTATTCTTGAAGCTTGTTCTAAAAGGTTTGTGCTGTAGCTATGCATTTCTTTGAGGTTGAAAAGAAGGAGACATCAAAGTAGCTACATTAGGCTGGGGCAAACCAACATATCCACAGATATATGGTGATGATTTAAGTTAATGTGTCCCACTAAGCCATGGTTCATATAAACAAGCTTTGTGAAGGTGCAAAGAATTGGTTGCATGTTGCATTAAGCTATAAGCCATGGTTTATAAGGGCAGTTGGTTGAGTTCTGGGCACTGAGCCCAACCAAGGAAGCTATGATGTAGCTAGAAATCTGGAGCTAATCAGCCATAATGTGATTTGCTTATTTGTAGATTAGTATTTATGGTCTGAAATTGGCGGTAAATTGTGGTGTGATTTGCAAGCGGTAGATATCCCAGTCCTGAGCAGGTAACATGGTTAGCATAACAGGTTGTGCGCTTGTTACTGAAATAAAAACTAGACCCTGAACAGTGTAAGACCCCAACTTTTGGTGACTTTCTACTGCAGTCAGAAAAGGTGGTCTCCACTCCAGGGCTGCACAAAAGGAGTTTCTCTGGAATCTTTCCTTGAAAGTTTGTGAGCTCTTCAGATGCCAGGAGCTGTCTCTGGCAGCCCCAGCTGCTTAATTGCCCCACGAGAGTGGCACGAGGTCATGATTTTGGCAGGCAGGTAGGCGGGGCTGTTTTGTTGTGAAAAAAAAAAAATAGCAATGGCTTGCTGACTCAACTGTCAGTCTTTTGCTCCATCCTCTCCCATGCTCAGCACCTGAGCGTGCACCGGAGTGACACGAGCCACAAAATTGGCAACAGCCATTACTCACAGGACTTGGAGGGTGACTTCACTGCTATTTCTCGAGGGTGATTGAACACTAGCATGGAGTGGTGCTTCTTGCATGGCAAGGTGGACCTTGACATAGTTGACATAGTTTCCATCTTGGAAATACTTCTTTCTTCCCAAATGGCTTTTTGGCTTGAGCGGAAAGGATCTGACAAACCCCTCCATCGAAAGGGTGGTGAAGAATGCCTTGGTTTTTGCTCTCAGGATAAAGTTTCAGGCCTGAAACTTTCAAAAAAAGGAAGCCAGTCAGCAAGCTGGAATGGAGAACTGGGCTGGCATAAAGGGCAGTGCTGTGGATGCAGAGTCCGATTCGCATCACCTTAAGCTGCTCTGACATTTACACAAACCACACATTGCGTTTACCCCCTTGGCTTGAGCTTAGAGTCCATCGCAAATCCTATTGTAAGATTTAACCATGGTTTATGGTGCTTGATGACGATGTTACGCGCGTGTAGCCTGTTGTGTTGGATTCAGTCACATGAAACTTAGGTCAGTGTTTCTCAACCTCAGCAACTTTGAGTTGAACACACTTCAACTCCCAGAATTCCCCAGTCAGTATGCTGAAGAATTCTGGGAGCTGAAGTCCACCCATCGCAAAGTGGCCGAGGTTGAGAAGCACTGCATTAGGTGAGAAGACCCCAGTCTCTTTCTTCGTACCATCTCAATCCAGTCCAAATCACTACACAACCAGAGCAAATTTGATAGGCTAATGAAGAGATTTCTGTAATTCCAAAATGTAGGATGTTGAATTCTTTTCAGCTCAGTGTATATTGTACCTCTGACACTTAATTAGACCGTTGACTAATGCAGGTTTTGTGAAGTTTGCTTGGCATGTCCAATTTGCCTTTCTCAGCAACCAAGGTCACTCAAACACTGTTCTAAAAATACCATTCTTTTTTTCTTTGCCTCTCTTGTAAGATTATTTTTGACCGTCTTCTTCCTGTGTCAAGCGACTTTGGGAAGGAGTCTTTTTAGCAAAGCTTCAGTCTTTTTGCTTTGAATAGAACCATTTATGAGGGAGGGAGGGAGGGAGGAAGGAGAGAAAAAGAGAAAGAGAAAAGTTGCAGGTCTTATATTGTTCTTGGCAGATTTTTCACAAGCATTGTGTCTAAGATTGTGAGCAAAACACAGCAGCAGTTTCCAAGCTTGGATGAGGTTTAATGTGGTTCCTGTAGGCTTAGTCCTGAGATGAAACACAGCCAGAATTAGGTCATTGGTGCACTAACAAGCTGCTGGTTGGCCAGACTTGAAATGTCACTCTTTGATTGCGTTGGGACATCATGTGTGTAAAGCCTCTGCAAACCCAATTAGCAAAGTTTCTTTGATGGCTTAGAGAAACATGCTTGCTTTCCAACAGAAGAGAATCTCTGTAGCTCAGGGTTGGATTATGGAGTTCTTGGTGCTCTCTGAGTTTGGTTGTTTCCTTGCAGACGTTTCATGACCCAACTAGATAACATTAGGAAACCAGACATGAGACCAGCTGTTGGCTTCAAAGAAGACTTTCTCCTCCTTGCTAAGCCCGGTTTATTAGCTAGGAAGCCTGTGCACAGACCGGGAAGATCCTGCTTTGCTTGATCAATTCTCTTTGGACAATCCCTCCCATTTGATTATTCCCATTGACAAATCAGTTTTGACCTTCCCATTCAACTGTTCAGTTGCAGAGTAGATTTGAAGAGTTGGCCAAGACCCCTTGAATCCAGTCTCCAAACTGAATTGTTTTGACCACCCTATCTGACAGATGTCTACTTCATCACTTGTTAGCTGATCCTTTTTAGAGGGAAATTTGGACACTGAACTTCACCAGCGGGCCTGTTTATTTTGCATTGAACCCTTCCTGATAAAGTGTGCCCCTAGTTGTAAAACTGTGTACACTGCATGCATACACACACACACACACAACTTTATTTGTATATATAGTGTGTACGTTTGTGTACGTTAAAGTTTATTTCAGTCCTAGACTAGCATCTAATTATTGGTCTGTCTTTAACACGCATCCTGATGCTATGCTAAAAAGTTCAGAATGAATTCCCATTATATGTCATGAATCAGGTTTTCCCTAGGGATGTCAGCTGTTTGGAAGTCAGACTTCTGTGGCTCTCTTTTCATACAGTTTAAATGCAGGAGATCTGCTTTTGAGATGGGCGGTTGTGGCTGGCCCCAAATCACCTAGTGAACCTCATCAGCGATGGAAGAGTTGGGCCTGCTTGGGCAAGATTTCTGCCTTCACTTGCATTTTCCCTGTTATTATTGATTTAGTCCATCAGCTTGTTTCCTAATTGCTGAAGGCAGTGGCAAAATTGCTTCTGGTTTGCTTGCAATTTTTAATTAAAAAAAAACTTCCTGTTTGCCTGTGCCTAGCTCCTGATCAAGCAGCTAGCAATGGGGATGGCCGCAATTCTAATCCAACTGGAACTGTAAATCCTTCAGTAGGAATAACAAATTGAGTGATTGTTTCTTGCAGTCAGAGCCTGCGTGGAAATACATCTGCTTTGTCAGCAAAAATACTACAAGGAGTAGCCTGTACCAGTCAGCGCCTGGGTTCATACCTTGCATTATCCTCAAGTCTGGTTTGGTTGGAGCTTTAGGGTATTGTGTGAACCTAAAACCTGGGGAGCGGTGTTTCGGATGAATGCTAGAGAATGGGGAGGAGGTATGGGGAACTCTTAAGGCTTTGTTACCCTTGCATGGAGGTCTGTATTTTGGCAAGACAGATCTGGTCAACTCAGCCAACTAAGGCTGGCTCAGTTGCAGTTGGAAGAGTTTGGGGCTTCGTGCGCTGCTGGGGCACATCTCCTTGGGACGATGCAAAGGGGTGGGTTGTTTGGCTAGCATTGCACAATGCTCAAACGGTTTGTAAACACTGGCGTTGCATGTAAAGACAGAGTGTTGATGACGGCAAAGTGGAAGGATCAGTGAGCTGACTGGGTGACTTGATTACTCAGCGTTACGAAGGTTGAGTTTCTGCAGATTCATAGCCAAAACATGAACAACCCGGAAGGGTTTTTAAATGAACCCCTGTACTCAGATGTGTGATTATTCTGGACTGGAATAAGATGATGGATGGTCTTTTCCACATCTGGAGCTGTCATTGCTCTAGGCAACTAGATAGATCTGGTGGCATTTATGTTGTTTTTGAGGTCCACCACAAATGTCTTGATGGTGGAGAGTTGGCTAGAAGAAATGTGTCTCAGGTAGGACTCTTGAAATCATCAGACGCTCGTTCAGCTAGACCAGGGTTTCTCAACCTTGGCCACTTTAAGACCTGTGGACTTCAACTCCCAGAATTCCCCAGCCACCCATGCTGGCTGGGGAATTCTGGAGTTGAAGTCCACAGGTCTTAAAGTGGCCAAGGTTGGGAAACCTTGAAATAAATGAAGATTTGTTATTTATTGCTGACCAGTGGGACAGCAGGAGGTCTTTTCATCCACTCTTTCCTGCAAACGCAGTCCTAAAGAAATTTATCCTGTAGCCCTATAGAAAAGCCCTCCCCGCAAGAAAAAGGCTGAGCCCAGAAAGGGGGTAGTGAATTTTTTCCTCCCTCTGGGCCAAATCGGGAGAAATCATCTCGGTTTCTCTGCCTGCAAATCTGGAGGAGAATTTGAAAAGGCTGTTTTTGCTCCCACGGTGACCTAAGGCATGGCAAGTCTGGGCTTGTTCGACTTCAGATATTTATTTATTTTGTTTTTTGCTTCCCAGTTTGGAGGCGTTTGGGTTGGTGAAAAAAATAACGGCTTGTTCTGTTTTGTTTTTAGGAGATGGCAAACTCCGTTTATTTAGTGATGGAGGTGAGCAATTCTGATATTTTTTCCCAAAGCATTGTGTTCTAAGATGTATCTGAATTTTGCCCTTCTTTCAAGGACCTGATGCAGGATTCTGGACCTTTCTCTCTCCTGTCCCCTATTTTTCCCCAACAGCCTTATAAGGTAGGCTGTAAGTACGGTGGCCATCGGCCCCTGATGATAAAGTACAGTTCTTTATTTCAGAAAGCTGACTTCGGTCCGTTTATTCTGGTCGTTTAACTTTTACCAGACAAACGGTACCCTTAAAGGCCCAGTCTTTCACTTTCATGTGAAAAATATGGAAATGGAATGGTCTGTTTAAAATAAATTCACATATATGGTTTGATTTCAGGCACTTAAAGAGAATGTGCCTTTATGTAAAGGTTTCCTTGGTTTTGCTTCTGAATTTTCCTTTGTAAAGCCAAGTTATAAACAGTTTTTTTTTTTTTAAATCCTTGTGAACCTCCTTCAGATTGGCTCCTTTTTCAGGCTTGTCCTTTACTTTTTCCAAGGAAATAGGGTCACCGTCGCTCCAGGTTATAACTGTCTTTCCCTAAATGGATATCCTTCATTCCTTAAATCTCTGATATTCTTGCTGGATAATGAAGGCAATTAATTAAGACAATTAATGAGCCATCTGTTTTCATCCTTAATTGCAGAGTCCTAGTTTTTGCTTTATTTATGAACATGAACATTTAATAATCTGCTTTGCTTATGAATTTTTTCCCCCTCCTTTTAGTACTGCAACGGCGGTGATCTGGCCGACTACTTGCACAGTATGTATTCTGCTTTTCCCGTAATAAAATTAGCATTAAAAAATTGGGATCAGAAAGTAGTATCTGGTATGAAATTCCCTGTCAAATGATGCCATGGTGGGTTTTATTCATGCAGCTTTATTGGGGTGTCCAGATGGCATTCTGCTGGCACGTTTGCCCTGATTTTCTCATTTTTCTTTCATTACTTTTTCCTTTTTAATACAGGCAGAATGAATACAAACGGGGCATATTTTCATCAGGATTAAGCAATCGATGCCCAGGTGTTTCGAAGGCAGTAGCAACATTTTTATTTAGAGCCTTCGCTTATAGAAACTGTTTGGCGCCTTCGATGAATTGTTAATTTTATAGCGTTTCTTCCTTTTATATGTGGTTACATATATATCTATGAACGGGGTGCTGCATTTTAAAGTTTGTGACTTGGTCTTGGAAGGTAAATAAATATTAAAAAAAAAAAAAAGATCAGGAATGCTAATGGCCTGTTCCATGTGGAAGCGTTGGGGAAGGGGTTTTAGTTCCGAAACTAGCTTTCTAAATGCGGGGGTTTTGTTTTTTCAACTTCTTTAGCTAGGAGAGAAGCTGTCCCTTGTACTTTGCTAAACCCCCTGAACGATGGCGTCAGATTAGTTAAGCAGTTTCTTAAATGAACCAACATTGGGGCATAATTACCTAATGGGTGCTCTCCCGTGCGGGATTATTTAAGACAGAATTTATGGAGTGGTTCCAGATGGTCTCCAGGACATCTCCAACTCCATGATATTTAGCAATATGTTTTTATTCAAACTCTTGTATAAACCAGCCATCTGACTGGAATAAAACTGCCAGTTGACATTTCTCGTAGTTGGTCTTCTCTGTCCAGCAACGCACATCACAATAAAACTTTCAAAGAGACTTCCAAACATTTGAAGTCTTCCTGATCTCCAGACAGACCTTGCCATATTTATGAATTTTTAACCAGCGGCTCTTTTTAATTCTCCTGAACTTAATGCATTCAAGTCCGCCAGGGCGGCCTCCCTCTTTAAAAAGCTTTTAAAAGCACGCTAACGAAAAGATGAAAGCCATCTCTTTGTGTTGATTAATCTTCAGTGCCTGGTTCTTGTTGGCCTGGGTTCAGACACGCGGTGTTAATCCAGGTGGCTGCTCCTGGTGTTTGGTTTTGCACCATGCCAACGTGCAAGAAACAGACGTAGGGCATTCTCCTTGGTTGCTCTTTGGGCCTGATTGTGGGAACTGAAGGATTAAAACAAGCTAAATGTGGGTTTATCCCCCTTCCCATCCTCGGATGGAACGTTTGGGGAAAGGTGGGCGAGAAAACTCGCTTTTGAGTCAAGCTCAACTCTGGGCGAATTCCAAAAACCCCTCCATGCATTTTTTTTAAATAAAAAAGTATGATACAGAAGTGACTTGTCGTTGCTTCTTGGAGAATATGTTTTTGACTTCCCATCTGACCTACCATCCAAGGAGAGTTGCCCCAGTTCTGGGGTCTTGTCAGGTCTTCTAAACCAGGTTCCTCAACCTCAGCAACTTTAAGATGGGTGGACTTCAACTCCCAGAATTCCCCAGC